CCACAGGGATGACAGGAGTGTGACTTTGCCTCTCCCTGGGGTCTAGTTTTCCACTTGCAAAGGTGAGCCCTCAGGTCAGGAAGAGGGAGAGGAAGGGCAGGGGATTCGGGGCTCAATTTTCTGGACCAGCAAGATCTCAGAAAGGTGTGTGGATGGGCTCAAGGCTGGACCCCAAGCCCCCAAATCTGACCTGCCCTGACTCTCAGGGAGGGTCCCCAGGGCAGAGAAGGGTTTACTGCACTCTTGGTGCCTAAGTGCCCACGGGTGGAAAGATACTCTGCGAGGCCATTCCCCACGGGCCAGGGCCTCCTGGAGACCAGTATTGTTCTCCACTGCCTTCCTTCTAGAATCTTCTCACGATTGCCTCAGAAGTCAAACGTGTGGCTCAACCAACACTCTGGGCTTGCGTCTGCCGGCACGCCTCTGTGTGGCGGGCACACGTCACCGCACACACCCCGTCCCCAGAACACAGGGCTTGCAAAGTCCGGATCGTAAGGCACCAGATGGATCCGTCGCAGACACAACAGGGAGTGGTGGGGATTGTGGCAACAAAGGGGCTGCCCGGGTCCATCTGCTGCAAGCTGCAGTCTCAGCTCCATCACACTCCGGTGGGACCATGGGCCAATTATTCAGAGAAGCAGGAAATCCCTATTTTGAGGTGCAATCGCTCATTTCAAATGTTGGGGGCTTCAGTTTCCAACAGCACAAACACTTTTTTTTTACTAACCCCTGGACATTTGCACTGACCGATTGGGTGGTTTGCAATTGAGCCTGCCAACCCGACTCCTGGGTTCAAGTGGTGTCCCCCCCTATTGAGGGGCATTCTCGCATGGCATTCTAGAAGTCTCCCAAGAGCACGCCCGTGTCCCTCCGAGCCTGGAAGACCCCCGCCTGGGGTGCTGGGGTGAGCACGTACCCACTTTGAGCTCCTTCCCGAAGACGGTGCGCTCCCCCAGCGCTGAGCAGTTCCAGCGGCCATTGCGGAACTGAAACTGACACTCGTCTAGGCCCATTTGGGAGCCTTCTCCGATGACGATGATGGCGTCGGGCCGGCTCTGGCAGATCGCCCGCTGTCTGGGGGCCAGGCCTGGGATCTTGTTACAGATGATGCTCGCGCCCAGAGCCACCACGGAGGAGAAGCCACTGGAGAGGGGGCACAGAGAGACAGAGGTTGAGACCCAGGGGAGCTAGCAGGTGCTGCAGGTGGCTGGAGGGACCCGGGGAACCCGTGGCTCAGACCTGTCATCCCAGTGGCTCAGGAGGCTGAGGCAGGAGGATCACAGCCTCGGCAACTTAGCGAGGCCCTAAGCACCTCAGTGAGACCCAGTCTCTAAATATAACACAAAATAGGGCTGAGGATGTGGCTCGGTGGTCTAGTGCCCTTGAGTTCAATCCCCGGGTACCACCCCTCTCCAAAAAGAAACCTTCAGAGGCACCGCGCAGGGTCCCTGAGCTGGTTAGGATTGCCATGTGGGCTTCTTTGGCTCTCTGTGTGACTCTGAGCTAGTTACCCACCCTCTCTGTACTTCAGTTTTTCCATGGCTAAATAAAGGGTGTTGGCAACTAGTCCTAATCTGATAGGGTTGCTGTCACCATCAAATGTGCTAAAACAGAAAGGGCTTAGAAGGTGCGGAGGGAGAGGTGGGGGCTGGTGCCTAATCACTAAATGTGGCCTCTGTTTGTTATTTGGGGACCTGATCGCTGTTCCAAGAGGCTGGCGCAGCTGGGATATCCTGAATGAGGCCCATCAATGAATCCCACCCATGCGCCAGTCTCCTCCCCAGGAACAGGGTCGAAACCCCCTTTCACGGGGGCACTGGGCCACATCTCGGGGATGTTGTCACTTTGACCCCCGGGGGTCCCTTTTACAGATGGAAAACAGAGACCCAGGGCGCATCAGGGCCCTGCCCAAAGCCACCCGGCCCCTCCCACCTCTTAACCTGGGCCTCTCCCGCGCTGCAGAGGCCAGCCTCGGGCGGAAGGCCGGCGGCGCCCTGCCTGGCTCGCTCCCCAGGTCCCTCCGGGGGACGACGGCTGGGTCCCCGCAGGGCCGATGGGCCACAGGCGCCAGGGGCGGGGTGGGGGGGGTGTCCACCGGGCGGGGCTGCAGGGAGGTTATTTTCTGCTATTTCCCCTTTCTGTGTCCCCTCCCGGGTGTCTCCGCCCCGATTCTAATTAAAAAGGAGATAATGTCGCACGCGGGCGGCCAGGGGGGCCCATCAGCCCGGCTTCCCGGATGCTGGAGGAGCGCGCGGGGCTGCGGGTCGCCCAGCCAAGACGCAGATGGGAGCGGGGAAAGCCATGCAGACGCGGGCCAATCAATAGCACTTAGAGCGCAGCGCGCTCGGCCCCCGCGCTCGCCTCTCCGCCCGCGGTCGGGGCCGGTGGCCGCCTGGTCCACTCTGCGCGGCGCACCTGCTGGCCGCCGCGGCTGTCCTCTGGCCAACACCCCCCCCCCACTCCAGGGACGCGGGGGATGGGGAGGTGGCTGCACCCGGGGTGGCAGTGTCAAAAACACAAAGGACCTGACACACTCACACACTCGCACACACACACACACACCCCTCGCCAAGGCCCCATCGCTGCCCCCCCCCCCCAAAAAAAAAAGAGGCGGAAGGGAGTCCACAGCCAGGGGACAGAGGGGCAGGTGGCCCTTCAGCGCCCGCCCGTACTGCCATCGCCACCCACCCCCCTTGGGGCCTCGCGTGCATTATCCCCCAAGTACAAAGGGCCCTGCAAATGCAGCCCGAGGAGCGACCCCCGTCGCCTCCTGCGCTTCCAGACCGAGAGAGGCGCGCACCCCACTTCGCAGACAATTTTGGGGTGCAGCCCGAGGGCGGCCGAGGTGTCCCGCTTCTCTTTGGGGCTGTCCCTGCGGCTGCTCTCTCCCCCTCTCCTACCTTTGTGTGTGTGTGTGTGTCGGGGGGCGGAGGCGCTGTCCCCTAGACTTGGGGAGAACTCTGGGCACCTGAGGGTCCCTAGGCATTGGGTGGTGCCAGGGCTCTGAGCGTCGGTCGGTTTATGTTTTGACCAGCGAAGGTCCCTCCCTCCCTCCCTCCGGGCACCTGTCCCCTGTTTGCAGGGACCGGCCCCCTCTGCCACCTGGGACTGCCCTGTCTCTGGGAGCCGCGGTGCCCGCGCCTCCTTTGCGGAGTTGCTCCTGCGCCACCGGAGCCGATGCGATCCCGGCTCAGCGTTCCTGCAGGACCTGCTGTCCCCATGGCCTGGAGGGTCCCAGCCGGCGCTCTCTGTGGCTGGGGGCTTCCAGATGGGCGCGGGATGCCCAGTCCCCGGGCCCGCGCGTGTGGAGCGAGGTGCGCCCCCCGCGGGGGGCGTCCGCCTGCGGGGAGCCTTTGTGCGCGCCCGGGCTCCGGCCCCCAGCGCCCACCCGGCTCCCGCGGGGGGACCCAGGAAGTTGGTGTCCTTGGCCTCGCCAACTTTGCCGGGACGCGCGCGCGGAGGGGACGCGAGGGCCCTTACCCGATCCGGAGGTAGACCATGCCCAGGCTGAGAAAGAGGTGGCCCAGGCAGCGCCGCGCTTTCCGGTTCATAGTCCCCGCTGGTGGCCGGGGCCGCGGGCCGGGCAGTGCAGATCCCCGCGGGCCGGCCCCGGCGGGACAATCAGCATAGCCCGCCCGCCCGGGTGGCGCGGGCCGAGGCGTCCCCGGGGCCGTCGGTCTGGGCGCCCGTCCGCGCGCTCGGGGCCGAGAGTCGCCGGGAGCGCGGGAGCCGCGCCGCGCAGGAGGGAGGAGGAGCGAGCGCCGCGCGGGGCTGCGCCGGGCTGCGCGCGAGCGAGCGGTGCAAGTGCAGCCCGTGCGGGGGGGGGGGGGACGCTGCTGTCGCCCGCCCGGTCCCTCCCTCCTCCCCCCTCCGTCCCTCCCGGCCCCTCCCCCGCCCGCCTCGCGTCTGAGCGCCCGAGGGACAGCGCCCCCTGCGCCGGGCGCGCTCCTTCTCGGCTCCGGGCGCGGGTGGGCAGCTGCGGGACCCCAATCGTCCCCCACCTGTCGCCCGATCGCAGGTGTCCTCGGGTGGAGGGGACCAGGATCCAGCCGGTGGGGAACTCTGGAGCCTCGTCCAGCTGCCCCGTCGCCTGGGAGCTGGAGGTGTCGGGGCGCACCTCGGTTCCCCAGGGCCAGGATGGAGGGGCCCGGCTTCGGGGGAGCGGGGGTGACCGAAGGGACCTAGTCCCTCATCCCTTCTCCTACCCTGAGAGGGGCGGCAGGTGGGAGCCTGGGTGGGACAGTCCCTCCCCCGTGGGGTCCCGCTACCGGAATGGGGTGGCCGCGCATCCAACCCAGTCGTGGGGCGCGGGAGCTGCCCGAGGGCTGGGGCGCCCCTTGGTGGCTCAGCGCGCTCTCGCGGCGACACCTGGCGGGGGCGGCGCGCGGTGCATCCCGGCCTCGTTCAAGGGGACGGAACTGGAGAGGTGCTGACCCCTGCCTTTGATATGCACCCGATCAGGGGAGCTGGGGGTATTGGACCCAATTTCAGGCTAAGGAACCCAAGGCCCACGGAGGCGAAGGTGTTTCCCCAAAGTCACCAGCCAGGGTGGGGCAGAGCCGGTTTGCAAGAAAGGTGTCCCCGACTCTCGTAGACCCCCCTTTCCCCCACCCTGTCGCATGACCTCCCTACATGGCTGTCACCACTGTCTGCATGAATCTCTCTCCCTCTCTGACACCGCAAGTCCCTTCTCCCCTGGAAGTGACCACATCGTTCCACCACATTGTTTCCTGCATAGCGGGGGGCATCGCAGATCCAAGGAACAGAAAAGGCAGGTGTTGCTAGGGGTCAGAGGACCGGTGAGCAAGGCCAGTCTTCCAGATGGCTCTGGCTCAAGTGATGATAACAGGACGAGTTGGCGGGAAAGAGAATTTGGGCACCAGAGGGTTATTTCAGATCTGAAGACATGGCATTGGAGCAGAGCCCTGAAGGACACCGGATCTGGTGCTTGGCATTCCAGGAAGGGGACCGGCCAGTGTCAAAGCTCCGAGGTGGGCGTGAGCCCAGGAGGGGATGCTGGGCCCATGCTGGACAGAAAGATGTCCAGGGGGGTGAGAGGAGACAGCGCCATGCAGAGCCCAGAACTGTGCGCAGGTTGCCAGCGAGGAGTTCAGTGGGAAGACTCTGAGGATGAAGGAGGGGTGAGTCACTGGGTTGGTGGGTCCAAGTGTCCCTTTGCTGCTCTAAAAGAGACTCCACCAGGGGGTGGGGAGAGCCAGGCAGGCCACAGAGACCCCACTGTGGGTCCAGGCACCAGGCTCCGTGGTGCACACCTGTCATCCTAGAGGCTCGGGAGGCTGAGGCAGGAGGATCGCAAGTTGGAGGCCAGCGTCAGCCACTCAGCAAGGCCGTAAGCAACTCGGTGAGACCCTGTCTCTAAATAAAATATAAAAAGGGCTGGGGACGGGGCTCAGTGGTTCAGTGCCCCTGAGTTCAGTCCTGGTACCGAGAGAGAGAGAGAGAGAGAGAGAGAGAGAGAGAGAGAGAGAGAGAGATTAGAAAGACACACTGCTTGTATGGTTGGCTGGGACAATTCTGCTGGATCTCAGAGCCACTATGGAAGGTGACTGGAGGTTGCCCGGTGAGGGAGCCAGGGATATGAGGGGCCACTTCAGTCTGGGGCCTTGATTGATTGCGTGACTGCAGTTACCCACCCCAGTTGCCCAGGTGTGTGAAGGTCTCCAGAGGATCCCAGCCCCCGGCCATCTAGTTATTCTGGCCACCAAGTCTACCCAGTTGAGGCATCGTGCACATGGGCTAGTGTGTCATCCTGAACGTCCCCTGTCCAAACTCCTGCACTCCTGGGTCCCCCCACCCCCGCCGGCCCATCATCCTCAGATACGGTCCACTCCAACCCTGCATAGGGTGCTTCCAAAACACCTCTCAGATGCATCATTATGACCTCAGAGCAAAGCCTCATCCATGTCACATGTTGAGGGACCCTCGTGACCTGGACATTGGGACGGATATTACAGAGAGACCAGTGCATCAGGGCAGATGGGCGAGGCAGATGTGCCAGGTGGTGTCACTCAGAGATCCGGCCTCTGATAGTGCTATCATGCAGATGTTATTATTATCATCACATGCATCATTATTTTATAGAACAGGAAATGTCAATCGTGGAGGGATAAAGAAAAATCCCAAATGCCCACAGCCAGCACCTGGTGGAATTGAGACTTAACCCTAGAGAGTATTGAGAGGGCTATGTAAGTCAGCTTTCCGTTACTGTAACAAAATGCCCGAGATAAATCAAGTTGTAAGCGGAAAAAAGGTTTATTCTGGCTCCTAGTTTCAGAAGTTTCAGTCCAAGGTTGGTTGGCCCTGTTGTCTTTGGGTCTGTCATGTCCTTTTCTGTGAGCACATAGTGGAGGTGACTGTCCCATCGTGGCAGTCAGGAAGCAGGGAGAGAGAGACACAGGGAAAAGATCAGGTCCAGACTGTAATAGAAGAAGAGGTCGCACACCATGAGGTTCCCAGGGCGGAGTCTGTTTGGGGCTTTCTGTGTGTGGGGGTATGTGTGTGCACATGGAGGGTCGGTGGGAGGTGACTGGGAGGTCCTTTTCCCATAGTTGTGAGGCCACTCCTCCACCCTGATGTCCCTGTGCAGACACCCGGGGTGCCTTTAGCCCTCCCTTCCACCGGGCCCACTCCTAGATCATCCTCAACTCAGGCAAACGGCTGCCTTGATCAGTCTGGCCTCTACCCCAGGCCGAAGGAGGATGGTGACCGTCCCCCTGTGGGGTGAGGTGCTGGACGCAGGGCCAGAGCCGCTCTTTGAAGAGGTCACATTTGAAGGCATTCCTTCCTTGGTGCTGATCTTGGGCGATCCCTCCCTCCCCTGTCTCCTCGGTTCCAATGTCACCTCCTTGGGAGAAAGACCCTGTCTCCTCCACCTGTGTCCCCAGCCCTGGTATTAAAAGGTGACACTGTGGGGTCAGCTCTGCGGGGGGGTCAGATCCCAGCTCTGCCACCTCTGAGCCTCGAGATCCAGGCGGGTGGCACTTGCTGGGGTTCTTGGGGCTCTCGTTTCAACGTCATTCAGTCCTTGGTGGGCTGGGGGGGGTCCCCTGGGAAAGCTCTGCTTTGTCCTAGGACCCCAGACCAAGGGGAAGACCTGTTTTTGTGATTCAGTGGGACTCGCTGCAGAAAGCTGACCCCAGATCTCTCTGCCCAGTGGATCCCCTCTGCTGGGACCCAGGGAAGCAGAGGATGCCTCTCAGCCGCTGTGGCTCAGGTTGAGCCCAACCCCGCGACTCTGGGGCAGGTGACAATTGGCCGCGTGCTTTGGCGCCACCTGCTGGACACAGCAGGGAAGGCCGCTGAGGTTCCCTGAGCACAATAAGGCTCATCACTGTCGCGCTGGGAGCCCCCCTGGGGTGCCCAGGGTTTTCATTTTCCTTTCTTAGCTCTTTGGGAAATTTCAGCATAGAAAAAGCTTTGACTGATAAACTATTTAGTACCACGCTGGCTCAATCATCAATCAATCAATCAATCAATCATCTATCTGTATCAATATGTGGGTCCTGGGGATGGAACCCAGGGGCCCTCAACCCCTGAGCCCCGTCCCCAGCCCTATTTATTTTTTATTTAGAGACAGGGTCTCGCTGAGTTGCTCAGGGCCTTGCTAAGTGGCTGAGACTGGCCTCCACCTTGCGATCCTCCTGCCTCAGCCTCAGACGTTCACAGATCCATGCAAGGAGAGTGAGAGAAATGGCCGTAGAAGCCACGAGGTGTCCAAGCAGGGCTGTGACCCTGTCCCATGCGGGCCTTCCCTCGAGAGCCTCTTCCAGCGTTTGGCCCCATTGTGACAGGCACGGGGTTCTCTGCCCGGGGAAGTTCCTCGCTGGGTCCCATCTGTGAAAGCTCTTGCTCCTCCCCACTGTGTTGAAGCTGTCACCTCTAGGCTCTGTCTCCCAGAGGAGCACAGGTGGGACAAGATGGGGCCTGGGGATCCCTGCTCACAAAAGCTGGGCAGCCACCGGAACCCAGAACCTCCCTGTGCCCCGTCAGTCTGCTTTCCTTGACTGTGACAAAATGCCTGAGGTAATCCACCAAAAATCAGGGAAGGTCGATTCTGGGTTAGGGTTCCAGAGGGTTTCAGTCCATTATCTGGTGACCCCTAGGCTGGAGGCCACGGCAGAGGGGACCTATTCACCTAAGGTAGGGGGAAGCCAAAGGGGGGCGGGGAGGAGAAAGGGCCAGGGTCAAGGACATGCTCTGAGTGACCTAACTTTGTCCTATGAGACTCCACCTCCTAAATATTTGACCACCTCCCAGGAGTGTCACAGCCTGGGGAACCAAGCCTTGATCACCTGGGCCTTTGGGGACACTTAAGATCCAAACTGTCCACCTTCCACCTGGTCTAATAAGGACCCAGCCCCTCCCTCTGAACTGTGGCTGCACAAATCGTTTATTGAGCATCTACTACGAGGCGCCCTCTCTACCCGGTGACCTGGAGCAAGGGACTCATGTCCAAGGTCACCCTGGTGTGACAGTGTCTCTTTCCACAAAGCATCTGGAGTGTGGCTGTTCTTGGGTGCCTCTGGGTTCTCTGGGCTGCATTGTACCTCACTGGTCACTGGCCTGCTGACCGCGGGCTCCTGGTCACCTTGGGAAGAGGAGCTTATCGCGGTCCCACCCCGAGGCCTTCCTGAGGATGCTCCCTGGCCGGGGCAGCTCATCCCGTGGGCCGGGCCCTTCCTCTGGGCCTGGAATCTGTCCCTCCCTTCAGATCTCCTGGGTCAGGCCTGTGACCCTGGCCACGTGACTTCCTCCGGGGCCTGGCCCTGGTTCCCTGCCTGCCTCCCAGCCCTCTCTGCCTGGTTAGTGACTCATCCTGGGCCTGACGTACCAGGCAGGGCTCAGCTGGGGACAAGGACGCCCACAGCTTGTCATGTTGGGGAGAAAGTGCATCTTGGGGTCCAGCCCTGACCCTGGCCCAACAGCACTTGTGCCTCCAGGGAGAGCCTCTCCGCATGTCCCCTGCTCCGGGTGTGCACACACTCCCCGAGAGGCCTCTGTCCCCGATGTCCTGGAGTCGAGAAGACCTCTTTGGAGAGCTCTGAGGACACGTCCCAGTGCCACTCTGCCCTTGCTGTGTGACTTTCGGAAAGTGAATCCACTTCTCTGGGTCTTAGTTTCCCTGTTTTTTTTCAATTCAAAGAAAAAAGCCTCCATCTTTAGAACGTGTGACGGTTAAATAAAATGACACACGTGTCCTGGTGCCTGGGCCCCAGCGCCAAAGGATAAAATGGGGATCTCTGGGGAGCAGATCTCAGGAATTGGATTCTATTAAAACTCAGGGAGGCTGGGGCCGGGGCTCAGGGACAGAGCACTTGTCTAGCACGTGCGAGGCTCTGGGTTCGATCCTCAGCACAGCATAAAAATAAATAAATAAATAAATAAAGGTTTTGGGTCAACTAAAAAAATATTTTTTGGGGGTGCCAGGGATTGAACTCAGGGGCACCTGACCCCTGAGCCCCATCCCCAGCCCTCTTTTGTATTTTATTTAGAGACAGGGTCTCACTGAGTTGCTCAGGGCCTTGCTTTTGCTGAGGCTGGCCTCCAACTCGCGATCCTCCTGCCTCAGCCTCCCCAGCCGCTGGGAGGACAGGTGTGCACCACCGTGCCTGGCTCTTTACTCTTGATGCCAACATTCAAGTCCTAAACCTCAGGGCCCCTGTGTCTCCCCTGAGCAAAAATTTTTTTTGTACCAGGGACAGAACCAGGGGTGTTTGACCACCGAGCCCCGTCCCCAGCCCCCCTTTTAAAAAAATGCATTTTGAGACAGAAATTTTTAATCACCAAGTGGACGTGGTCTTCTATCAAATACGGGTTTGGGTCACCAAAGAAAGAGGTCACGAAAATGAATAAAAATAAAAACCCCATCAACCTAACGCACCTGGTGCGCCCTGGGCGCAGTGTGATCTCCCCACGTTGGACGTGCGGAGCCGCGCATTGGACACCAGGTGGCGCCAGAGCTGCGGGTAAACTCTCCCTGCAGCCACAGCCTTGGGCTCTGCTCATCAGCCTGGTTCCCGGAAAACCTTCAGGATTCCTCTTAAGAGCAGCAACTAGTTTTAGTGTAACTCAGTGAATTTGATGCATGGGATGAATTTTCCCGCCAGGAAAGGGAGGATTA